AACACAATCATAATTAGCAGATTATGGATTCCATAGATAAAAAGCATTATTAGAAGACAACACAATTAGAAGAGATAAAGCAACCCTAGACACAAGTATGAAATTGGTTCACGGTATGCAGATACTGGAGGATGGCAAAAGAATACGAGACACAGAGGTTTGTAAGCAACAAAGAAGATGACACACAAATCTGTAAATTCGCAAAGAGGGCAGAAAAGCGAGCCAAGTACGACCCGTTGAACAGTAGCACTACAACAAATGAAAACAGTTTCTAAATTGATGATATCATATGCTTCTAGCAAGGACGTCGTCATTCAAAAACATGATAGATGCCTGCCATTTGTGTGGTGGGAAAACAGGTCATTGGTTGGCGGACTGCTCAATAATGCAGCAATAAGCCCCTAGTAGAGGTATGACAGATATGTACTTTATACTCAGATAAGCACTTTGTAATATGATTGCACGTTTTTTGGAACCCATTCACAAAACGAATCATCGGTACACCAAATACAAACCATACATCGTTATGTTTTGTTACGGAACCAACCAATGTCTGCTCGAACAACCCTCGCAGGGCTATGATGGAAATGCTCAATGATATCAAACCTGCTTATCACCTCGTGAACATTTCCAACAGTCATTGGGATTTCATCAGGTTTTCACGGAAATGCGAGCACGATCGTAACCATCCTAACTTATATCAAATGTCCTCTTCTTCGTGTTATCCTTGGCACCTTATGTGTTTACGAAATTAAGGAAACATTGTGACATGGCGGGAACAGAATATTCCAGCTCTAGTATGTATAGATGATGATCTTGGTGCGAAAGGGGTACGATAAAGAATTTGATATATACATTATGCTATAGAGAGTAGTCATGGACAATGTTCATATCACAGAAGCATCGGGAGATCCTTTGCAGACATTCAACAATCTGTGTACTGTAAAAGGGTTAATTATTCATTGGGTTATCATTTTGCTTATTTCGCTGACTGGAAAATGTGCTAATTTAAAATTAAAACCTAGTGAATATGTAAAATTTAGCATAGAACACATTATCTAAACGATAAAACCGTGAATTTAAAACCCAGTGAATATGCCTGAAATGGTAAATCAGCGAAAATTAAACTCAATGAAAATGAGTCATTTTACAGTTTCTTACACAAGTGTGTTGAATGTGAAGCTATGGCGGTTTTGCTACTAGTGCTAAAGGGGCATAGCAATTGGTAACAGGCTGGACCAAATAGAAACCCTGCCTGGAAACATGTTATTCAGTTTTGCTCCGAAATGAATGTTATACGTATAACCAACACGTGGTCAAAATCATATGCAATGGTAGCATTAAAGCAGATTTACAGTCAAAGGCAGTTGATACATTAGATGTATTTCCATATATCATTCCATGAGTGTGGGCGTATATTTGGAGGTACAAAGTACTTGCTGTGCTGCTTATACCGGCTTGAAATAGATCACGATTTTGGTCACTGTTAAGCCCCAATGCAAGTTTCGTGAATGCTTATATATGGTTACCGAATACACCCGGTATAGTCATATAAGGCAAGTTCTTCAATTAATTAAAAAACAAATAATACCTGATTCAAAGACGCACGGAAAGAGCCTGTATTCTGACCTTGAAGCTGCTTTTTCTAATGATAACTGTTTTCCTGCCGCAGATCTAAATTTGTGGTCGACAATTGTGAGAAACGGGACGTTGACAATCTCTAAATGTCTTCCACATGTTATATTGCGTTCTAACTATGTGTTATACTATAGGCATTAAATTGACTTTGCTAATATTTATAATGTGGACATTTTCAAGCCAGTCCCATGAACTTGACATTGATTTTTATACATTTGGTTGATATGAACAAGTCATGATCCTTAGTGCATATTTTTTTAGATTCTCTTGACCCTCTTGTAAAGGTGTCATAGAAGAATGATGCCACAGAAAACCCATTCCAGCCCAATCTTTGGTGGGATTTTGCACTAAATTGTCGGATATTTCTATGTGCTTACTAATGTTTGCTGGTTTTCTAAAATTTTACGAACTTTCATTACTAATTTGCAATGACATATAATTTTTAGAGTTCTCATCTATACCAAAACAGCAACTGCTAGAGTTAAAGCGCGGTGGTCGTTGCGCAGCGCATGGTCGAATTTCATGTAAATAAATAATGTATTTTACACGCGTTGTATACGTCGCTATGAATCCCATATCTAACCGGACGCAGCGCGATGACTGCCGCCCTTAAACGACCGAGCATTGAGGACAGGTTAGTCAAAATTTGAAGTTCTAATAATATACTTTCTTTGGTCCACAATAAAACAGCGAACTATCATCCTACATTTCTATTGTATGTGATGTCGAGAATGTGAGTATTTGTGTGGGCACAATCTGTGATTGGCAGGTGGCATATGCGTGATGCCTACGTACGGGAGCCTGAATTATGAATACAGTGTTGCAGCGGCATTGCAATATGATGGAAGTTGATTGGCTCGTGCGTCATTTAGGGCGGGGTACTTGAAGGAAAGATTGAGTCCACGCTCAAGCCTTATCAAAAGATGTCAGCTACCTCCCCGACTAGTTTTGTAGATGATTTTCAATTTTGCTCTAAATGTGAATCATGTACTTCCTGTTTTCGGTACCACGTACTTTCACCAGATTTGTACTTGTATTTTCAACCATGCTACGACGGTTATCGATGTATCAATTACAATCTTGGTGTGAGCTTATTTATATTCACACTACTGTAGCAGTGATTTTTGCCTGAGAGCAACATCCAAACAAAAGGATTTTTAAAATATTGTTTGAACTTCTGTTGAAAGAACTTTTATTTTGTGTGTGTCAGTCTACACCCCCACCGAAGACAATTGTCCGCTCCATCTATATATCAAAAGGATTCCGCCTTACCAAAACGTCCTTTGACCTAACTAAACAAGTGCAATCTCACATTTGATAACCATACATTTTTGACTGTGGTATCATTTGAATAATTGCATTGCTATGTGCAGCTGTGTAGCTGCAGTGATGTTGAAGTTGATATGTAAAGTTGGTTCCACGAAAGACGTACCACGGTTGTTGCGAATTGGAGAAGGTTCTGCCCCGGGTTTCTGCCAATCACGAATGCTGTTGTAAGTAGCCTGATTCGTCACATATTTGGTGTTGCCAGTAATTTGATCTCAGGCGTATGCCATGTCATAGCCGTTGAATTGAATATAATCACGAACACAAACCCGGACGGGATTTCGAATGGAAGCGCACCCGTTCATCGTCGATGGCGGCGCTGCTCAGTATTTCCTAACGTCGCTAATGATAATTTAAGTCTTTCTCCCTGTATATAATACGTGTCAAATTGATTTAATAGTGTATTTTCCATCACATACTTCACAAATCTTTGAAATGTATAACTAAACTAACACCTTTGATGTGTTATGTTTGGTCAACTGGCGTCTCCGTGGATGTGGAATATATCAGTTCAAGCAATCTCTTCACCGTGACTGGTGAATATCCGTAAGATCATTATTAACTTTCTCTGTGCGCATGCGCTTCGCTCATTCTTTTGAGTAATTAACATATGAAATAAACACCCGCGGCTATCGGTAACTTTGTGTATTTACTCTTCTGAGCTAGAACATTTATTCTTTGCCTGGGAATAATTTGTTCAATACATGCTGTTTTTTTATTTGATTTTTTTTAGCATTTCTTGGCTTACAATTTTGGTTAATATGGGCCTAGATTTAATGACGAAATGGTCAGGGAAGCATAGTCACAGTCCCATGAAAATGCACCCGAAAATAATCCTCAGACAAATATTTTATGTAACTGTTAGAGCTCTTTTTATGCGTGAATTATTCTGACAATACATATGAATAATAAATTGAGTATTTGGCAAGGATGCCCCACAGCAAATTGAAAAATCAACGAAAATTCACATTTTAAGTCAAGATATAAATGATTTGCTATTAATTTTGTTTATACAAAAGCTTTCCTGTTAATTAAAACGCAGTGTGTTCTGTCAATGCTTCGCTACTCTCGATGTCATTGAAAACAGTTCAACGTGGCAAAATTGTATATATCATAGCATTCCAGCAGAAAGTGCCAGTCTATTTGAATCCACATACACTAAAGAACATAAATGAATATAGCATGATTATAAGTCTGTTTCAAATTATGTTTATAATACCACATTTATGTAAAACCAAACGCTACAGTTTTTTTAGAATATATTTATTTATTGACTCAGTTTGAATCTACAAGTCCTAGGGTAGATGGTGAGGGGTCCAGTGAAATGTTTGGAGGTAAGTGTGCTGTCAACAATAGTAATTATACAATTATTGTTGCGAATAACGTTCTGCTTGAATACAATGCTACAAATTCTGAATTACTTTTCAACTTAGCGATGATGAATGTGGGTCTGCAAATTGATGAGATGACTCATTTATTGACAATCTCCAGCCATTAAAAAAACACATCTATGAAACATGACTCATATTGGTTAATCGCTACACAATACAAAAGCTATATTAAAATGCCCCGAGCATATGCATACATAATGAGTGTTCATAATCGCCCATATCAGCACCATGTATCAGTCTGCCATGCACGCCAATAACTGGTGTTAAAATATAAATAGTTCCCACAATTAGCCAAGAAAATAAAAAGTACATCAACCATGGTAGAACTCTCCCAAGTGTTTAGGCGGGAAATGTCGTTTTCTGAAACTCGTTTTCACAGCAGGAGGAACATTTCGTGTTTGAGAAGCAAACATTGATTCCTCGTATTTTCTGTAACATTTATTACCAGCCGTCAGATATTTCAGTAGGTTGCATCTCATTTCAAGTAATTACATTTTCTTCGTGCTATCTCTGTCGTCTCAGTTCACTGCACATTCAACTGCGCATGTCGTCTAAATAATACTCCAATAAAGAAGTTTAGTTTCCTTATATGGAACACTGTACTGACGTCATGCGCAGTGTGAGTGCGCGCTGCGTTTCTCTTTTCGATATTTGAGTAATAGGTTTATTTGTGGATATGAATCAGAATGAGATACCACAGCTACACGCTCGGTCAATAGCAATCCATTGCCAGTCATATTCTCCCACGGGTTGATCGTCTTCAACCGACTTCACATACGCAAGGGCCCATCCCTTCTTTTGTTTGCACGCTGAGTTAATACCAAATCCTATGAAATATATAAATATATATATTTAATAAATATACCTTGATTGTTGTCATCTGACCAACAATATATTATTATTATTATTATTATTTATTGGAGTAAAGTGTATTTAAATAGAATCGACGATGAACTGTGGGTATAGTTGGTGTCATGAAATTCGGATTTGAGTTTTATATATATTTGCCATACAAACATATATAAATATATATTCTAATCTGTTATAGTTATCTGATTATTATATTTAGCAATAAATGGCTGGAGGTTATGAAGAAATAATAATTGATTTATGCAATAATGTAATCTCCATAACAGTGATTTGAATTATAGATGCATTATAGCAACTGAATATCTTTCAATTTTTTTTTAGTTTATTTTAAACTAATCGATTAATTATCATATTAGCCCTGTGATTCACAAATAAAACATCACATTCTGCAAAGGTCATTACACGTCACACATCAACTCGAATAATGAATACTTGTAAAGCGAAATCAAATATGGCTGAACAGTGTGACATTTTATTGGTTTAAACACATCTCCGAAAATCAATATAATGTAATTCAACAAAAAAAACGACTTTCAGAAAATAACAACTTAAATAGACTTAAATGAAAGAGTGGTGGATTATTGTGACCATATGTAGAAACTAATTTATAATGCATATTGAATCGATTTCACAGACTTACTTGTTAATCCTCTGCACGGTGTATTGACTGTAGAACATCTAGTGGTATAAACCCATGTATTTGGATGGACAGCGACTACCGCCATGTATTGGTTCATCGCGTTGGTTACTAACTCATAATCACCGATCTCTTGGCAAGTGTCTCGCATTACGTGGGCACGCTAAACAATTATGAATATAACAAATATTTAACATTTTCTTATCTAGTACCGTTTGTCTTGCATGCATTTTCAGATGATTCGTTTGCAACGTCGCCAACTTTGAGCACGTTCCGAATTATTGATGCCACATTCGAACACTTTTTTTGTCAAAAATAGAAATATTCGACGAACTAAAATGAAGTTATTGCGTGTTTACAGTGCGCATGGTATGTGCCTGATTACGTGAGCAACGTGTACACTCATTTGAAATAAAGATGCTCACGTACTCAGACATGAAATATAACCTGCCACCGCAGTACTAGTATGTTGGAAATCTACCTAATGTTCGTTTTGTATTTACTCACCCCTCGTTTTGTTGGCATGCTCTCTGGTTGCGGCGTTGTTGGCTGCTCATCAAACCAATAATCGGAGAATACCTCATCTGGCATCTTATAAGGAACTATGGGTTTTGTTTTTGAGAATATTGTACCAAGCCCGGCATGTTTTTGGAGATCTTCATAATATTCCTATAATGGAATATATATCGCAATTACAAGCTCGTTATTATTTAAAGACGCAACATCTATCGAGATTGCTTATGTTTGTTATTGACCATTACAAACTCTGGGGGAGAATAAGGTAGCAAATTAGTGTTTTCCTCAGATTTGAAGTGGATTTACAGGAAGACATTTCTGTAAATGTGCTTGCCCATAAACATGTTTTCTTCTGTGCAGCCCCCCCCCCCCCATTATCCCATTATACCACTAAAATGACGACGCGTCAAAAGTGGATGTGGCTAAAAAAAGTAATTCGAGAGTGTGCGTTGCCAAGCTCTTCACAAGAAAACGACAATCGAAAACACGCTGATAGGTGATTTTCTAGATGAAAATAACCAGAATTTTTTAACGTGAATGCATTATGGAGAGTTGTTTGTTTGAACGACTCGTATACATACTCTGACGCGTTGGATAATGTCGAGTCACACACCGTCTTATTTGTTCGTTCATTCAATAATAGAAGTGTATGGTATTATAATTTTGATTAATCTCTTCTGGTACGACGAGTAACCCCGGGTATCTCCCACAAAACTGAAAGTCTAGTTGTGTTTTGATACGTACTATTATATTCGCGAAACATGAATATTTGAATAAATTCACAGCAATCATCAAATGTCTCATAATATATACATATTCAAACACTAGCATGCCAAATAAAGGAAGTACATGGTTGAATAAACTAACGATACGACTCGTGTTTTCCAAAGATGATGCCAGGTAATATTTAACAAACCGCGTCACTCCTGATCTACGTCTGCTTGAAAATCGGTTGCGTAAACTATGTCTATACTAAAATTCGTGTCAGCAGTTTCATTTAATTTATTGAGTACCTTATCAACTTTGCCATCTTATCTACCCTTCTTTATAGCTTCTCGCCACCACGGCTTGTCACACGTGCTGACAAACTGAGGGATAGATCACTTTGTGAATGTTCCTTGCAGTTGTTTACAGATAACTCGGCATTTACATCTTTTTATGCATTGATACTTTGTTAAACATTGAACTCAGAGTCGAGACGAGCCGAGCCCCCTTACGCTGAGCGGAATAAACCTCGGTCGGGAACGGGTTACACGTGTTTTCTAACAGTCGGGTCGAACCCTGCGTTTTGCTACACGTGCATAAACATACAAGCATGTCTTGAGACTAAGAAGGATTAAGTTTGATTTGAAACACGCGAAATTCTGAAACACCTGCGTCCGTTTTGTGTAAACGAGACAGTAACTCGTGAAGCAGCTTCGAACGTGCCCAAAAGTTGCTGACGTCATTCGACTAAATATCAGGCGCATCAGTACTGGTCCATTGAGACACATAATTATGTGCTAGTTTGTGGCACATTGATGAATAACGTGACACCTTTAAATGTCAAGGTGTAAGTATTGGCTTTCAATAGATAAGACTTCGTCATCGTCAGAACTATCGTACGAGCTACAGACTAGGAAGGTAAATACGTCAAGGAGTCTGGATTATCTCTGTTTATAGGGAGTTGACAATCGATTATTATCGTACTGAGTACATGAACAAAGTTCAATTAGCTGCAATAGAAGGCGATACTTTTGTTAATCTAAAGCTCTGGTTATTTGTGAATTAATCGTGTTCTTATCTAGTTTGTGAATAAATTGTATTTGCAAGCATTAAAAAAAATAATCCGCTAGAACAAGCATGCAGAATTGTTTGAACCTGTCGAGAGTCGGGTATGCGCTACTGTGTGGAAATTTCAAATCGTTACATTGGTAACTCGTAGTAATGAAATTTCAATCACGGTACATTCATACCTGTTGATATAGAATTTCCAATAAATGAATGCCTTTGCGACAAATAATTAAGTCTATACAGATCTGCATATTGTTTTACTGTGATAATAATGACAATGACGCAACAATATCAGTATATTGTTTCTAAACTACATAGGTGGCGGCTGTTTTGTTAATTTAACTCGCTGCTATTTGTGTTCTTATGAACATTTCGTATCTCAAACTGTACGGTGAAAAGAATGTTGGCTAATTCAAATCTAGGTTTTATAAGCAGCTTAAATTTGAAATAAGTATCAGTGTGTTATATTTAAACATGACGTCACAAATACGTCATAGCGCGCAGTAATTATTTTCTAAATTACAACAAAAAACTCCATGAAGAGTTATACACCAAGTTAGACAATGAATATTTTGATATTTACTATTTTTTTAATAAGCTTTGTTTCCGTGAAAAGAATATTACCATACCAACTACTTAGCGTGAGCAATTAGATGTCCATGAATTGTACACTTACGTCACTTCCTATGTATTCTTCTGTTGAATCGTTCGTGGAGCTAGACGGTTCAGCTGAAAACAATTGAACATTAGATCATTATTATGGGCTATTCATTCAAATCGACAAATCGACATCTTACTGCCCACGTTGACATGCGTTTCCATTTAAGAAGTGTCATTTCCCTTTATTGGCAGAGTAAATAAAATAATGGGAAGGTTTCAAAGCTAATGCCATGTCGTCTTTTTTAATTGTTATAGATTTTAATACATGTTCCGGCGTAGGTTGTGTTGACAGGTTGAGTCTACTTGATGCTGGGAAAACATGTTATCCTTTCCTTGCACTTTCAGAGCGAAGTGTGTCTATGTGATCTGATCGTTTTTTTTCTATATATCACTTCGTTCCGTTACGAATTGTTAGAAGCTGTAATGTAATGTTCTAATTCTTCGTGCCATTACCCATAATCCTACCGGTTTCTTTCACCAACCTTCGAGCTAAACTGGATATTTTGATAACATTTAACGTACTTTCGAAACACAATATTACTGATTACGTGGGAATTTATTAGGTTCATAACATAATAAAATATTATAATATGCCAATAAAGCGCCAAAGAGTGCAAATCATTTATTTATAGCGGTATAGTCCCCGCTATAAAAATAGTATATTGTTCGGGGCATTGGTCGTCGCGACCGCATTCTTTGATAAGAACTCCAAGACACGTTTGTTTGGCTGCTCGGTCCAACCACAAATTAAGAAATTCGTTCTGTTTAGTAATACAAAGACTGTCATATGTAAGCTTGTATTTGTCTAATGGTTGGTGGGCCAGTGGCCTCTAAACACACACAATATTTATATATGGTGCAGTGTGAGACAATTAACTCAAATACCCAGTATACTGAAGTCTTCTACGATCTCCATTAGATCTTTGATGAACGATAATGTTGACTCGGAATTATTCCTCTTAACTCGATGTTTCGATAGATAGTCCCGTACTTTGTTCGGCTGTGTGTATATTTCATTACCTGTCAAGCAAATATAATTATATTCAGTAGAAATACGTAAGTGATTCAATATTCAATAACTTAAGTTGAATTACAACATTGACAGTTAATTATCTAACATTTTTTTTTGCTTTATACAGCTCATAACTTCGGCCAAAACAAGCTTGAGATGACGTCATATGATACACACCCTCTGTGCATTGACCATAACAAAGTTACTTGAACATTCTAGCATTCTGTCACCAGAACAAACGCAGGGTTGAACATCATGTGACATGAATAAGATGACTTGACTAAGCCGACCGGATGCTTGAATAAATACGTACATTGAGTACATACGTAATCATTGTCTTAACACCATTATGTCAATTTAATTGTGTCAAGCATGATGGTATATCGCGAAAAAATGGTAATATTTTCTCTCATAAATTGTGCATAGTTATTTTACATTAGTACCTTCCATTTTCAAATTGATAATTTAATAACAACACAATCGTTTTAAAACAATCAATAAATAATATAAACCGTGTTTATAACAC